TCAACTTGGTCAGCACCTTGACCACCTCGATGTCCATATGGGGGTTTTGAAGAAAAAAGATCTTCCAAACTCACACAAGAAGATTTTATGCACTTACTCTCATTGTTTAACTAGGCTGGTATTCACTTTTCTTAGTTTTGGGGCAAATTTTGACTATTTTTCATTTGTCCTCTTTTATTTTTTCTTTTTACTTATTCGTGTATGAATTCAATTTTGTTTTCATTGTCGACTAAGGGAAATTATGTTGTGTAGTGTAGACGTGCATGTCCCTTTTTGTCTTTGTACAGATGATTTTTGCTGCTTCAATTTATTATAATAGTTAAGCATTTATGAAATGGTTCAGCATAAGAATAACATTGATTAGAGGTTGCTCAGATTGCTGATTTATATGGATGGGGTACGGTGAAAGACGTGGGCCCGACCAACAAAATATAAGTCGTGTTTGGTCGAGTTTTTTTTGGTATTTTAATTATTTATTTATCTAATTGAGGTGACATATATTTATAAAATTTTCAAGAAAAAAAATATTATCGCTAAAAATATATAATGTTGTTACGATGTGTTCTGGATCATTTAATTATGCAAGTTCAAAATAGAAATAAATTGTATTGAAAAAATAAATAGTTCAATAACTTGAATATAATATAAGTTATATAAATATATATAACTTTATATACAATTTTTTTTTTTGTTCATTTTTCTAAAATGAATTTCTTTACAAGTTCTAATGAATTCTATAAAAATGCACAGAAACCTGTGAAAGAGTTTGATCAAATAATTATGTAAAAATCTAAAAAAGTTAAGCGGTGAATTTTACTTAAAAAAAAAAAGTCAGAGCGAAATCTAAATTGCATTTCCAAAGTGTTTCTCCAAAGTTTTAACTTGTTCCCTTCTATTTTCGTAAATTAAATCTGTCATCAATTAATAACATACCAATTCATATATGACTGGCAACTGTAACAAAATATGACAGAAAATAAAATAAAATACCAGAGAAGATTAAAAAAAAAAAAAGGTACAGAGAAAAAATAGAGCAGGAAACCAACAGGGATGCTCTTTCAACTGAATTTTATTACTTGATGAAGAACTCTAAGAAAATAGAGAATGAAAAGAAAACTGGAAGTGCTGGTTGTATGTATCAGCAGTGTACAAGTGCCAATTTATAGTGAGAAATTCTCCTAAAGTTTCTCAACTAAACAAATTGAAAGACCAACGTGTTCCTAAACTTATTCACCAAACAAGAGACCAATTCCGCTAGACTGACTCCTAAATTGTTGAAAACTACTGACTCATTCAAGCAAACTTACTCTCAACAACACCAAGAGCTCCACGAAATACTTCAAATTTAGCTTTGGCAAGTGCTTTAGTAAAGATATCAGCCACTTGGTCGTCAGTTCGCATCTTCTGCAGCTCAATGTGAGTTAACACCTCTCGAACAAAATGGAAATGAGTTTAAATGTGTTTTGTGCGTGCATGAAACACTGGTTTTGCAGCAAACTTTATTGCACTTTCATTGTCACAATAAATGAGAATTGAGTAGTTGAAGGTAAAGACACTCTTGAGTTGCCATAGTAACTGCTATATACTCTGCTTCACAACTTGAAAGAGCTACGGTGGATTGCTTTTTAGTACATAATAAAATTGTAGCTGAACCTATAGTAAGACAGAACCCTATTGTGGAGCATCTGTCATTCACATCACCAACCCAATCTGCATCTACAAAACCACTCAAGAAAAATAACATATGTTGATTGTCCATTAATAAATAACTTAAGAGTCCCTTTTACGTAACAAAGAATTCTCTTTGCTGCAGTTAAATGACCCTCACATTGATTGTCCATAAACCGAGAAATAACTCCAACAGAATATACGATATTGGGTCTTGTGATAGTTAAATAAAATAAACTACCAACAATTTGTCGAAAAGGTGTTGTATCTTCTAGTGGCTTTCCCTCATTTTTAGATAACTTCAAGCATGGTTCTATTGGATTGGTCATTTCTTTGGACTCTCTCATACGGAAGTGAATTAGTAAACTTGTTGCATATCCTTTTTGAGAGACATAATAACCATCTGATTTTTCAATTTCCAAGCCAAGAAAACAGCTAGCTTTACCCAAACTCTTCATTTCAAAACGAACAAACAAAGCATCCCAAATACAAGTAATTTCTACATTATCATCTCTCGTAATGATCATATCATCCACCTAAAGCAAAAGCATAGTGCTCATAGTGGGGTTTTTTTTATATAAATAAACTTGGATCGGCATTTAAAGACTTGAAACCGCAAAAGTCAAGGTATTGGGCAATCTCACCATACCAAGCATATGGAGCTTGCTTGAGGCCATACAAAGCCTTCTTGAGCCGGCACACATAATAAAGGAATTCCTTAGAAATAAATCCATGTGGCTGCTCCATAAAAATATCACGATCTAACTCTCCGTAGAGGAATGCATTCTTCACGTCCAGCTGCCACAATTTCTGGCCTTTGTAAGCAACCAATGAAATAATTGTTCGAACAGTCACCATTTTTAGAAACAGGGCTAAAAGTCTCCTTGTAGTCTAAAACATATTGCTAGTAAAAACCACGAGTAACAAGGCAGGCTTTATACCCGTCAATAGTACTATCAGCCTTTTTCTTCAACTTGTAAACCCATTTACAAGTAACCAAACCAGTGTTATTCGACTTTGGAACAAGCTCCCAGGTGCTGTTCTTGTGTAAAACTGATATTTCCCCATGTATTGTCTTTTTCCATTCAGAAATCCCTTAGCTTCATTGTAGGAAATAGGCTCATTCCCACCTGAATCTCCCATGAAAAAACAAGACAATCAAAAAAAATGATTAACTCAACTTCATAATCGGCTAGATAGTTAGGTTGCTCTCCATCTCGTTGTATTTCGTGTGACAGCCTTAGCACCCTCATCTATCTGGATGTTTTCCTTAGATGAAGAAATATTGCTCCCCCCATTACTGGATGCAGCATCACCAGGAGAAAATTCAAGATTAGTTATGCCTTTTCCTTTATTTTGCATCAAACTTGTAAGATGACCCTTCATCAAACACCACATCACGGGAAACAGTGACCTTTGTTTCTGGATCCATACCTCTCCATCATTTCTTGTGAGTGTTATAGCCAAAAAAATGCAACACCTAGCCCTTGGGTCAGTTTAGTTCGATTATGTTTTAATTCATGAACATAACAAACAGACCCAAAATCTCGAAAAGAACTTACATTAGGTTTGCAATGGTACAATAACTAGAAAGGAGATTATTCTTTCCCCGGCCATAGAGGCAAACGATTTATGACATAACAAGCTATTTGAAAAGCTGTAGCCCACACTCTATTGGAAGACTCTTTGAATGTAGCCATGACAAAAACATAGATGTCAGATGAGCTAACTTATTCAGCAACCCCATTTTGTTGTGGGTTTCTGGACAAGTCATTTGACGTTGAATCCCATGTTGCCTGCAATAATTAGAAATTGATCTGACATATATTTTCCTCCATTGTCAGTTCGCAAGCACTTTATTGGTAGCCTAAATTCTTTTTCCGTATCCTGCTTGAAATGAACAAATTTGGAGAGAACCTCACTTTTGTGTTCCAAGAAATAAACCCAATTGAACCGAGAAAAATCGTCTACAATAAGCATTACATAATGATAACCAATGCAACTAGATGTTCTTGTTGGCCCCAAGAGGTCTGAATGGACAAACTGTAACACAGTAGATGCCCTATTTTCTGAATTCGAAAAAGGAAGATGATGAGATTTTCCATATTGGCAACCGAACAAAACACGTCAGGATGAATAACTTTAAAAACAGGAATACCATCAAGAAGTTTCTTTGTGGGGATTTTCTATAGCAATTGATAACTAATATGGCCCAAACGAACATGCCAAAGTGTTGAGCTTGCATTCTCACCCGCCATTACAACATATGCATCACTTCCAGACAATACGTATAATGATTCTTTTCTTTTTCCAGTAAACAAAACATCAGCTACAATATGCTTCACATTAGAAAGAACTTGCACTTCATCTGGTCCAAAAAGAACATACCTTCCCGAATCTATTATTCGAGAAACTAAAGCAAGATTTTTCTTTAAGCATGGAACATGATATACATGTTTGAGAAAAAGGCCTCCATCATTAGAGTTACCTTCTTCAAAATTTCCTTTCATTACAGGATATAATGAATTATCGGTTGTCACAATGACCTTTTTCCCACAATGCAGACGAACATCTGATAGTAGCACATCATTTCCCGTTGCATGATGAGAATACCCAGAATCAACAATCCATTCCTTGTTGTAGTCATTGAAAACATTTGCATCTGTAAGCGCGTTGGTCTGGTGTACAAACAGAAGTCACATTTGTTGGTTGATCAATAACTTTAATGGCTAAGCACTTCTCCCAATCTGGTTCTTCAGATTCACTTTCACGTGCAACATTTGGTCCTGTTTCCTTCAAATTAACAGGACAATTTGATTTGATATCACCTGATTTTCCACACCAATTACACATCTTTCACCTGGCAATCACGCTTGATGTGTC